CCCCCCCCCCATCCCCCCCATACCGGCCGCGTCATCAGCAGCCACAGTGGCTGTTGGCTTGTAGTTCTCAATTAACTACCACAATGCTGTGGAGTGCCGTGGTAGTTCATTGATTCATGTCAATTCATCTGCTTGCCCATACATCCCATGCGGGAAAGCAGATACACTGACAGGTCTGCAGGAGACCTGCATGGCACCAGTGGTCTGCTGATTGTTTGTGCAATGCTTCACAGGCTCCTGCAACTAAAAATAATTAATGCACATTAAATGTCAAAAGGGAACTTATCCTTTAACAGTTTGTGATACGGACATAGAGTAAAGGTCCTTGTTTCGGCACTTTATGTTATGATTTGCCAATACTCTGTCCCTATCTCTTGACTGTAAATACCCTGTCATATGCCTTCCCAAAGGAAAAAATAAGCTTCTGTGCTGATGCATGTTGCCTAGGAACAGTGGTGTATTTAAGTTTTGTGCTGCCCTAGGCAACACAAAAATCAGACGCCCCCCCTCCCTGGCAGAGAGAGCCTGATACCGACCAACAGCAGACCCCCCCCCCATGGAGAGAGCCTGACTCCGACCAACACCAGACCCCCCTATGGAGAAAGCCTGACAGTGACCAACAAAACCCCTGCCCTCCCACCCGGGAGAGCCTTTTACTAAACCCCCCCCCCGGTGACAGAGAGAAAGACACTCGCCTTCACAGCTTTGGCCATCCCCGGGAACGACAGCTGGGCTCTGCATATACCATCAATCAGCCCGCAGCCTCTATCGCATCCCACCTGGTCCCCATGCCGCATATGTCCCTTCTTTCAGAGGCCAGTGCTTCCCCTCTAAAAAATGCCGCCCTAGGCAAATGCCTTGTTTGCCTTGTGGTAAATACACCCCTGCCTAGGAATAGTACACTGTTTTTAACCAAAAAGCCTTTAAAAATTTACAGCCAGCACCAATTAGGACATATACTCTGTAAAAACATGTAGGGCTATCAGTGAAGTTCATGCAGCTGGAAAAAAATAGGAGATATGCCCTGTGAAAATATACAAGCAGCCTATTATGACTGTTGACAGTGTGGTGTGGAAAGGCTGTAAAGAAAATACAGAAAATACATTAGCAGCAGGAAGATGTAAAAATCCTTCCCTCTCCCCCACACCCAAATTCCCCAAGATACACAGCATCTTGGTATTTAACCCTTTTATTGCCACTGGTATATAGCATACACTCATTCCTGCTATGCTCCTATTTTGAGAACCAAGAACCTGTTGTAGGGTAGAGGGGATAATGATTAGTGATAATGATTATAATAATAACAACAATAATAATAATAATAAAATATGAGGTATACTCCCCCTTGTTATTCATTAAAAAAAAACTAATTAAACACAGTCACAACATAAAAAAAAAAATCCTTTATTGAAAAACAAAAAATGTCCCAAATGTAATTCCAGCATCAATGACAGCCTCCAGCAATGTAGACCCATGTCAAACAGGATGATTGCTGTCTGACAATATCAACCTACCACACGATGATACTTCTGTAGCAAATTACACATCCCCACCAGTTTCTAAATAAGCCAACAGGGATCCTGGGTGATGTTATTTAGCAAACTTGGCTGTATGTTTGTAGTGTTACCGGCAGTAGAGTGACTATGCTACTGCCACAAAAATTGCAGACTTTATAAACAAACATCATCCGGAGGTTCAGGTGGGCGAATTGGGCAAGTATGCAAGTTTGTGCACTCATTTGTAAAACTGCAAACATGCTGGGTTCAGGTAGAACTCATGTTCAACCCAAAGCTTATCCTTAACTGCTTCCCATTGCACATGGACGGCAGATGGGAAGTTTTGTCGATGCGGGTTAGCATACCTGTAGATCAGCCCGCATTGACAGCTCCTGCGCAACTCACAGAGTGCATACCCAGAAGCCCGGACACAGCGGATCACATAACCATTTACAGCACTCACATTGTAAACACTGTAAAGTGAAAGTAAAGATCGTTTCTCTCTGCTCTCACACTAAGAGCAAAGCCTGTGAGTGTACAGCAACCTGTCAGGCTACTTGTACACTCACAAACTGCAGTGCCAGTCACCCCAGTGCCACAGTTTAGTGCCTCTGTGTCCCTGATTGCTGCCCCAGAATATCTATAATAAATAAACCAGCCAGCCCCTGTCACCTGTCCCAGTGAGCACAAATACTCCCCTACACACCATACAATGTCCTGATCACCGCCATACACCATACCAATACCCTAATCACTGCCATACCCCATACCAACGCCCTGATCATGACCAACCACCATACCAGTGTGCCCTGATCAGTGCCATACACCATACCAAATACTCTAATCACTGCCATACCCCATACCAATGCTCTGATCATGACCAACCACCATACCAGTGCCCTGATCAGTGCCATAACCCATACCAGCATTCTTATTGCTGCCATGCCCCATACCAACATCCTGATCACCTCCATACCAATGTCCTGATCACTTCCATACCCCATACCAGCATCCTGATCACCACCATACCCTATACCTGCATTCAGATCACCCCCATACCAGCATTCTGATCACCACCATACCCTATACCAGCATCCTGACTACCACCATACCAGCTTCCTGATCACCATCGTACCACATGCTAAGTCACCACCATACCACATACCAGTATCCTGATCACTGCCATAAGTCATGCAAGTGTCTGGCATTTTAGGGTCTCAATTGATGAATTTTCAAATATATATCCCATAGTTTGTACACTCTTTAGATTTCACACAGATTAAATAATATACACTGTTTTGGGTTAGTTTTATTCCAGCAGAATACATTTTGGCCTAAATTTATGAAGAAAAATGATTTATTTGCAACATTTTGTTACAAAAACTAAGCAAAAAAATGTTTCTTTATTTTTTCATTTATATAGCAAAAAAAATAAAAAACCAAGTGGTGATCAAATACCACCAAAAGAAAGCTATATCTGTCCCAAAAAAAGAATAAAAATTTAAAAGGAGTACAGTGTTACATCACTTAAAGTGTGATAATACTGAAAGCTGAAAATTGGCCAGGACTGGAAGCGGATAAAACTGTCCGTAAGTGGTTAAAAAGGAATGCTCATGCTTGTACAGCTCTATTTAGAACACATTCAATTGAATGAGTCAGAAATTAGATGCTCCTATATTCAATCAAAAATCTATAATGTATTATGTGCTGTTCACTCTGCAGTGTATCTCAAACAATGCTATCAGTCCTGCTTAGTTCACGTCTTTAGACAACAGAATGGTGGCCTTCACTTCCTCCTCTAGAATGATAATACAGTTCTTCCTAGATACAGTACGGTGAGTGAGCATGGCCACCCTTGGACAGGAAGCATGTTACTGACAGGATCACTACATAAAAATAAGGGGAACAATTTTGGACAAAAAAAAAAGTGTATACAGTAGCAATGAATTTGAGAGTGGACATGCTTTGGAAGTAACCCCTTCCTGCTATAGAATCACACCAGAAGTTCAGATTGCTCAAGGCAGCTGGAACACCCCCAGTGTCTGCACCAAATACATCCAACCAAGAAAATACTATGTGTGCCAGAGTATCTATTTCTGCACAGAGACTAGCTATTTTCTATACAGAGGTATTCCCACAGATGCATTTACAACCTGCCTTTAACCAATGTTTAGCAAAAAATCTGATGAACAAGAGGCAGCTTAAAAAAATAAACACCAGGACTTAGCCTTACACTCTATTTGCTTTGAAGCATAAACTCAATCATCCTTTTCTTTTTCTTTTTTTATTTTAATAAAGCTGTGTCATTAAGAATCTCAACTTGAATGTCAAGTAGGTTTAAAAAGAGCTCTCCAGTACACTAGAACAAATGTCATTTGTTTAAATTTCAGGACCTAATTCACATATGCATTAAAAAACCGAAAAATGAGATTATCTTTTTTTCTCTACTTGAGCTGAAACAATTTGTAGTCAATTAAAATAACAGGGGCTTAAGTCCTGTAAAAGCAAATCTTTCTATGATTAAAGCAATTACCTTCTATTGCAGTCTTTTAATGTGCAGTGTTGTTGAAGACATGTAATCAGAACTGCATGGCTGGGGGCAGAGAGGTGCAGCTGTTCTATATGTGCACCATCTTATTCTGTGGGCTCTGCTACAGCTGGCCTTCTGTAAATAAGAACCAATGACTGGATAATTTGCCACCTTTCAAATTTTGAACTCATAATAAATGGAAAAACAATGTACTAAATATATGAATAGGTTATTGTAATGCAGTGTTAAATACCTGCCATTGATAACAACTGAAATACAGTATATGATAAATAAATATTCTAGGTTTACACTAGAACAGAAAACTAGTTTACATGAACCAGGGGGGGACTGACCATTTGGAAACTCGGGCACTGCCCGAGGGCCCGGGGTCAGTAGGGGGCCCCATGAGATGCCCCGGTACCTTTTTCATAGGCTTTTTTTGAGTTTGGGGAAGGACACAGGGGCCCCATGCTCCCCTATTGCCCGGGGGCCCCATGAGTTGTCAGTCCGCCCCTGACGTGAACCCAAACAATCATGTGGTTTCTTTGCGAGATGGAAGAATCTTTCCAGGTTCTATTTAAAAAGGGTTTGATGAATCTTGTGCGGAACCTAATGTTAGAGGTGAATTCAATTTAAGTCTATGAATGAAAAATCTTGATTTTTAACCACCTCCCGCCCGCCATATAGTAATATGATGGACGCAAGGTGGTTCTCTCGCTTTGGGAGGATGTCCTCCCAATCTCACGGTGCATGCGTGGCTCCGGGAGCGCGCAGCTCGGACACAGCGGATCACCGATCATGGAAAGAGCCGAAGATGTCGGCTCGGTCATGTGATCAGCTATGTCCAATCCAAACAGGGAAATGCGGGTTATCAACATTTCTCTCCTCTCAAGCTGTCATGCTGACAGCTCGAGAGGAGAGGAGAGCTGGTAATCTGCATTCCTATGAGGGGACATGTACACTGATCATCAGAGCACTGATGATCAGTGTGCCCTGATGATCAGTGTAGCCCCAGCAGTGCCACCTGTCAGTGTCCATCAGTGCCTTGTGTCAGTGCTCATCAGTGCGTCGTGCGGGTGCCCATCAGTGCCACATCAATGCCACATATCAGTGCCTACCAGTGCACATCAATGCCCCATATCAGTGCCCATCTGAGCTGCCTTTCAGTGCCAGTCAGTGCCACCTATCAATGCCAACCAGTGCCACCTATCAGTGCTGCCAATCAGTGCCACCTATCAGTGCCAGTCAGTGTCGTCTAACAGTGCCAGTCAGTGCCGCCTATCAGTGTCCATCAGTGCAGCCTATCAGTGCCCATCACTGCAGCCTCATTAGCGCACATCAGTGAAGGAGAAAAATCACTTATTTACAAAATTTTATAACAAAAACTAAGAAAAAACAGGGTTTTTTTTCAGGTAGCTTTTGCGGCGCCGGCAACACAAATAAACAAAACTTTCCTAGCACATTTACCAGCTAGCCTGCTAACAAACCAAACTGTCTAACAATTCAAGTTTAAACAGAGGTTTTCATTGCACACATTTGCTAATATATGTGGAAGCCGCAGTCCCCACGTGAACAAAAAATGGTCCTGCACCTTTTTGGTGTGGATGCGATTTGAGTCATACAAAATGCATGGCTCAAATCCCATCGCACAGACATCACATGTGATGTGCACAGGAATGCGTTGCGGTTCCTGTGCGAATCACATGCGATGTGCCATACCACATCAGTGTGAACCCAGGCTTACAGATGTGAAGCATTCAATATATTCAGGAGCATAATGAAGACTGTTTTGATTTGACTGTGGACTCCAAGGGAGTATGATCACTTGAGGTAAATCCCCAGGGGGAGAGTGCAGGTGCACAAAGAGGGGCCATCAAGAAACCAAGCTAGGCTCTGTACACATGATGGTGTCCATTTATGCCCTCAAAACTTACTTTATCCTTGTAATACAGTATATTAGAGGACAAGCAGTCTGGGGCCTTATTAACCTCCCTGTTGGTATTCCCGAGTGTAGCTCGGGGTTAACTTTCAATACCAGAAGCGGTAACCCTGAGCTACACTTGGGATTACCCTGCCGCGTTGCTCTGGGATCCCTCCAGCACTTACCTTGTCCTGCGATGTCCCTGCAGCTTCCCCGGCCATGTCCTCCGGCGGATACTGGAATCATTCTTCCAGGGTTCCGTTCCCTGCGAACGTTGGGATGTACAGGCCGTACAGGGGACGGGACCGGCGGGGAATTCAAAAATGTAAAAATGTGACATTCACTCAATACATTAAAATCTATTACATTACTGTATCAAACCATTTCACATACATTTTGTCCCTACTGCTTTGTCCTGTGCCCTGCCTGCATTTTTACTGTTCTTTCTGCCTTGAAACTGAGAAACGTCCATGGCGTCCAAAAAGCGTCCCTTTAGGTCAAAAGCAGTTTCAGATCAGCTAAAGAACAGCGATAGTAAATTAGAACCACTTGCAGAATTGAGTGATAATGATTTGTGGGGAAATTCGTCATCAGACACTGAAAACGATTCTGAGACTGAGCTCAGCGATGTCCGAACTTGGCGCTCTATTTCAAATTTCAGTGTTTTTGGTTTGATTACATTATTGAATTAAATTTATTATTATATTATTTATTTTGATGATTATTTATTATATTATAATTTATGATTTCGTGTTTCAAATTTTATCATACCTGGGATGTTTACTAGACTCCTGTTCAGACAGATTTCAGTGAGTTATTCCTAAGAATTACAGGCCTACAATAAAAAAAACAACAACATATTTCCATTGAAAACAATGTACGGCTTTGAGCACAGAAATACTGACATAATCAGACCGCTAGGGAGGTTAAAATCAGTGTCCCATATAGGTTGTCACCAGTCTCCAGTCACAGTTACTGGGATGGAGGAGGGTGCAGACCTTCCTACTTGCATCTAAGCCTGTGGTCAAATTGGGCTGTAATATATTACAAGGATAAAGAAAGTATCTTTTTTGTGTGGTATTATTGTGGCATTGACAGAATGTAAACGAAGGCAGCTCTTACCAACCAATAATTCTATGTTATTAAAGTCAGATTATTACTCCTATACATTACTTAAATCACCATTGCACTTTGCCCTACACTAAAGCATATCTAAACCCAAAACAAAAGTGTAATATATTGCAGAGTATCAGTCCTTAGATGTGGTGGTTGCACTACTATTCTTTTTGCAGGTTTCATTTTCTTTATTTTTGCCTGGTAATCCAGCAAATAACCCAGTTTCTATTTCTGGGTGGCAATATTCACCCCTACTCTGTATTTATGGAGAGATACATGGTTCTCAGCCTTGGGTAGCAATGTTCAATCCTCTGCTACATTTTTGTAGGTAGCCATTGTTGTCATCCATGCTGAACTTCAGACATGTCTGCCTTTGTTCTTTCTAATAACATGGAGGACTACATAGATTGCATAAGAAAACTAAAATTGCTTTTGCTTCCATTTCATTTTTTACAATAAGAGACAAAGACACAGCATTTCTGATAAGGTCAATGGGTATTTTCTCTATTTGCTAAAATCTTCTTCCCTGAAAAAATGCGTAACAGAATGTTCTGTGACATCATCACACACGCCAACTGGACCTGTGTTGGTGCTTTGTATAGTGTCCAATGCTTTCATCTGTACATGTAAGTGTCTTTATTATTTTAATAAATTGTGTGCAAATAAACTATACTATGAGGTTTCTCTTTCATCTTGTTTATCTTGTGGCTGACATCTGCAATGCACTGTCAAGAAAAGATTTGGGTAGAACTATTGCAAGTGACATTTCTTCAGTGACACAGATCTGAAGTTCATGAAAGACACCTCAACTGGGTTACAGTAAAACCCATATAGGTCTCTTTATGTTGACATTTTAAATTTTAGTAAGGAGGTGTGCATGAGGGATGAACATTTGAACACTGGAGCACTTTAATCAAAGTGGCACTGAAAGCACTTTTTATTTTCACTGTGGATTTTTGCTGGTCTATGTAGAGCAGGATTTTTATGTGGACTATAAGCATATTTTTTACCACTTTAATATTGGGCACTTTTACCCCCTTCCTGCCCAGGCCAATTTTCAGGTTTCAGCGCTCTCTCAGTTTGAATGACATGCAACACTGTACCCAAACTACATTTTTATCACTTTGTTCACACAACTAGAGATTTCTTTTGGTGGTATTTAATCACCACTAGAGTTTTTGTTTTTTGCTAAATGAACAAAAAAAATCGACTTTTTTTAAAAAAAAAAAATGTTTTTCTTTGTTTCTGTTATAAAAGTTTGCATATAAATAATTGTTCTTCATAAATTTAGGCCAAGATGTATTCTGCTACAATTCTTTGGTGAAAATAACCCAAATCAAATCATAAATGGGAGTTCTTCAAAAGGACTGTATGTGAACACACTGCAAAATATATTCCCATGGGCAACAAGTTTTAAAGTCTAAAAATCAAACCTATGTGGCTTATGGCCAAAGTTAAAAAAGCTATAGATAATAAGAAAAGAGCTTTTATTAAATATAAAAATGAAGGAATACTATCGTTTAAAAATTACAAAGAATATAACAGAATATGCAAGAAGGAAATAAAGGCTGCAAAAATTGAAAACAAACGACAGATTGCAAAAAATAGCAGGACCAACCCCAAAAAATTCTTCAAATATATTAATATTAAAAAGGTCTGGATCTGAGCATAAGGGCCCTTTACAAAATAATCTAGAGTGGGTGACTGGGGACAAAGAGCAGGCAAATTTATTAAATACCGTCTTCAGCTCTGTGTATACAAAGGAGCATGGGGGGAGCTCTTGTCCATAATGAGCATGGTATTGACGCAGCTCCAGAAGATCCACATTGGCTCACAATTGATATGATCCAAAAATATTTAGATAGTATAAAGGTGAATAAAGCACCTGGACCACATGGCATAACCTACGGGCCCTTAAAGAATTCTAATTTTTAGGGACTCTTTAATGACTGGCATAGTACCACTGGATTGGCGTAAGGCCAATGTGGTGCTTATATTTAAAAAGGGGTCAAAATCTTTACCAAGTAATTATAGACCTGTTAATTTAACTTCTATAGTTGGGAAGATACTGGAGAGCTTATAAAAAAACCACATAGATGAGTTTGTGCCGGAAAAAAATATTTTAAGCAACAGACTGCATGGATTTATGAAAGACAGAAGTTGTCAAACAAATCTGATTTCTTTTTATGAGGAGGTGAGCAAAACCTTGAACAGAGGGGAGGCGGTGGACGTGGTATACTTAAATTTTGCAAAAGCGTTTGACACAGTTCCCCACACACGGCTAATGTGTAAGGTAAAGTCTATGGGGTTGAAAAAATCTGTATGTAAATGGGTATAAAACTGACTAAAAGATCGTATTCAAAGAGTAGTGGTTAATGATTCATATTCTGAATGGTCTAGGGTTGTCAGTGGTGTACCCCAAGGTTCAGTGTTGGGACCCTTACTTTTTAATATATCTATAAAAGATATAGGGTCTGGGATTAAAAATCCCATTTCAGTCTTTGCAGATGACACCAAGCTGTGCAGTGAAATAAAGTCCTTACAGGATGTCTTTAACTTACAAGCCGACCTCAATGCACTGTTTAATTGGGCAACTATGTGGCAAATGAGGTTTAATGTTGATAAATGTAAGGTTATGCACTTGGGGGCTAAGAATATGCATGCATCATACATACTAGGGGGGTACAACTGGGGGAATCCATGGTGGAGAAGGATCTGGGAGTTCTGGTAGATCACAACCCTAGTAATGGCATACCAAGCTGTGGTTTCTAAAGCGAGCAAAATCCTCTCTTGTATTAAAAGAGGTATAGACTCTAGAGAGAGAGATATCATATTACCCCTGTACAAATCATTAGTAATACCTCATCTGAATATGCAGTTCAGTTTTGAGCACCAATTCACAAAAAGAACATTAGGAAACTGGAGAAAGTACAGAGAAGGGCAACTAAACTGATAAGAGGCATGGAGGAGATCAGATATGAGGAAAGATTAGAGGAACTGAATTTATTCTCTCTTGAGAAGAGGAGGTTAAGGGGGAATATGATCAACATGTATAAATACATCAGTGGTTCATATAGTGAACTCGGTGTAGAGCTATTCACCCTGAGGTCATCACAGAGGACAAGGGGGCACTTTTTACGTCTGGAGGAAAAAAAAATTAATCTCCAAACATGGAAAGGTTTCTTCACAGTGAAATCTGTGAAAATATGGAATAGACTCCCTCAAGAGTTGGTTCTGGCCAGCTCAGTGGATTGCTTCAAAAAAGGCCTGGATTTTTTCTTAGATACACAGAATATAACTGGATACTAACATTTATAGGTAAAGTTGATCCAAGGAATATCC